TTCCAGAAATATCTGTTAAGTGACCCAATTTCAAAAGTAGATGAAATCATTAATATATGTTCATACATTTGTACATATTCTGAGCCTAAAGTATTTACTTTTTGAATGATTATCAAATGGCCTATTCTGGTATGATTGCTAATATCAGTATTTTCAATCCTCAAAGTGAAAATATAAATTAATATAATATATACATATTATTGTGTGTGTGTCTCTGTGTGTGTGTCTGTGTGTATGATTGGGTCTGTCTTGGGAAGCATTCTATGTCTTTCAAATATGAAATTTGTTGAACATCCATACGGATATTTTTTTATTCATTATCTTATTTGTGGAAACAGAAAGAGCAATCCAGTAAAACTATTGGCTAGGAAAAGAAAAGGACATTTAAGCACAGGTATATTAGCAACAATTTTCATCTGAATATTAAAGCTAAATATCTTATGATGTAATATAAATACATTTTTATCTTCACCTTTATTTTGGGAGAGTAATCATGTTAGTATTTTGCATAATGAGCACTGACAATGAACCATTTTAATAATCTATTTTGATAATCCAGTACAGCAATCAATACAAATCAGTGACTATTAAAGGATACACACACACACACACACACACACACACACACACACACACAATTTGTGGTAACTTTTGCAATCTACATATGCTGTTCTTACTAAAGTGTATCTTGTGTTTGGAACTCAGGTTGCAGGATTTTTAGTCACTCTATGTGCTCTTTTTCAGCTAGTGAGCCATTCATGAAGCTGTTTCACAAAAGCATCATGCAATTGCATACTCCACATTTTGCTACCGAAACAACTGAGAACCCTAAATTATTTTTGTAAAATAATAAAAGCACATAATTGGAACGTATTTAAATACCATTTGAATTATTCACCAGGCACAATGCCTTTTCAAGGTATTTAACACTTCTGAAAGCCAGCACCTTTTTTGTTAAAAAATAACACTGAGATAACTTTGTTCACTGTACAAATTTGTGAGAGTTTTCCATTAGTAGATATGGAAATTAATTAGAATGTAGTCTAGTAAATACTGGATATTCAGTAACTACAT